CCGTAGATGAATCGCGGAGTTCGATTCGAGAAGGAAGAGCTTGGCAAATTTGCACAGCTTAAGTAAATCTTCTTTTCCAAGGTGAAAATATCGATGTGAAGAATTTCACACGGGTACCTTGGGATAGGTGTCGGTTGGAGAAATTATTTATTAGGGAGTCTCTCGTACTTGAAGAGCTTACGAGCATTTTTGCATAATCGCGAATAAACTTCCTATAGTAAGATGTCATGCCAAGGAAGCTCTTCAGTTCCTTGACGTTCCTAGGAGGTTTCATTTTGGATATAGCTTCTACCTTCTTTTTGTCCGCTCTGATACCGTCATGACTGACCTGAGTCGACAAGAATTGAGTCTTGGTCAGATTTACCTGAAGTCGGGCCTTTTTAAGGCATTCAAAGAGCAGGCGAAGGTTCTTCCAGTGGCTATCATAATCGTTGCTAAATACGATAATGTCATCGATGTCTTTATCCGTTGTGTTCCCGAAGAACATCATCGATTATTCGTTGGAAGATAGCCGGGGCGTTTTTCAAACCGAAGGGAAGGCGGAGGAACTCATATTTCCCGTTTAGGGTGGAGAATGCCGTTTTCGCAGTATCGGATGGTTTCATGTGTATTCGATGGAACCCCGAAGTAAGGTCAAGTGTTGTGAAGTATCTGGCCAAGGCTAGCCAGCGTGGACTTTTGGACGGTCGTATGCTGCCCTCACTCAGTAGTTCCCCGATTTGCCTATCCACTTCAGACCTCATGTTAGCTGGGTATGGGTAGCTTTTTGTGTAAATTGGGTCTGAACTGTTCGTGCAGATTTCGGCCTCTACACTTGCGTCGACGGCCTCGCCCGGCGACAAGGGATCGAAATTACTCGTCGATTAAGGCCATTAACGTTTGCCTTACTTCAGATGGATGCGTTGGATCTAGTAAAGCATTGACGTTAAGAGACCTTTTAGCAAGAAGGGAGATCATTATGCCAGGGGATTATGCCCTCATATTCTAGGTATGTGACGCTGGAGAGGCTTCGGTCATAAAATTTTGACCCACAGCTCTTATTTCAGGGCCATCCCTCTCTTCCATGGCATCCTGGTGAGGCATGCCAACGTTCTCAGCACCGAGTTGATCGTAGTATGAGTCAGTTGGAAGGACTTCGCCATATTCAGCAGGGATAGTAGTTGAAGGGTCAGGTACGGGCTCCATGTGATAGAGTTTCGTTGCCTTTGGAACGGATTCTGGTATTCGAACGTTGTCTTTTTATGCCTGAACCCTCGCTCTGAGGAGACCTGTAGTCTGAACGGTGGGACTGGCCCGATCGGTTTGACTCCATTGTAATTGGCCTTGGGCCCTGGAAGCGATTATTGTGTTGCGAGCCTCTATATCCCGAACCCAATGAAGGTCTACCATTTCCCTGATAGGAAGGAGTAAAGCGAGTGCCGCTCGCCGTCCGGTAAAACCGGGTATTTGGTGCGGGTCTCGGGGTAACCGCCTGTAACTCCTTACAGAAGAAGTAGGCTTCCTGCTAATCTTTTGGTCTACGCATGACCAACAGTCTGGATGCGTCGTTACCGACTCCTCGAATGAAGACGTCGAGGGCCTTGTGCCTGGAATGCTCGGACAGGGCTCTGACTGCCTTCATTGGGTGTCCAATGGCTTATAATCCGTTGAGGATAAGAGAGAGGTGTTTATTCACTTCCAAATAGTATTCTTCCAAGGTTTTATTCCCTTGGCTCAGCTGGCCAATCTGATACTCTAGCGTTCGCACATCGCGTTTATCCGCGTAGTGCAATGCTAGAACTGTTCTAATTTCTGGCCAGACGTCATCCAAAACCCCATAAAGGTCGAGAGCTTCTTCGGCTTCGCCTCTTATTTTCTGTCTAATGTGGCTGACTATGGCACGGAACAAAAAATTTCCTTTGATAACCTCATAGTCGTTCAAGATAGCTTGCGCACGGTTGACCCAAGAGACGTATCTCTCAGGCTGCCCCTCGAACGTTTGAAGTTCCTTAACGCAATCGGGAAGCGTGAAAACTTCCCTCAGCTCGAATTCCTTGTGCGCACGCGCCAAGGGCACCGGGGGTGTAACTACTGGATTACGTGCCACATTCTCGGATTCTAAAGTACTAATCCTATTATTCATTTTTTTCATTTGGGCAAGAAGTGCATTGTTTCCTTAATTTCCTCCATTTTTTAGTATAAGTGCATCGGACAAACAAGCAACGGGAGTATATTGAATCGAATAGGAATACAGACAGATACGCAAGATTTCTCAAGATTTTATTCTTTAATAAAGCTACTGTAAGTATTCATGGATTTTCAAATTCTTTACTGAAAAGCACAAATAGTAAATGTTGATTCACTCACCCTTGACAATTTGTGTTAATCCTTGTGTGGGCGTGTTAAATGTATCGTTTCTTTCTTAGTATCTGCAGAAAAAAAAAGATCTTTTTTTTTTGTAGTTTAATTGTGGGCAATGGTTTTTCCTTTTTCTCTTTATTTTTTGCTTCTATTCTTTCGATTTTAATTTATTCAGTGACAGTGACGGACGAGTTATGTGTTGAGTGGAACTAAGCACTAAGTCCATAGGGTTGACGCTATGAGCTTTGCACTCGCGAATGGGCTACAGGGGCTGTAGACAAATCGCCGCAGTGGGTTACTCCATAGGTCCTTTTTTTATATTTAAGGTAGACACTTTGCGCCAGCGTAAAATGTGCCCCACTCCTGGACGGAGATGGCCCTAACGCTGCGGCAGGTGGTCTTATGTTTTGTTTTATACGACTTTTTTGCGCCTGTGCAGAATGTTGCTCCCGCTACAGGTGGAAGCGGAATTTCCCCCCCGCGGCGGGTAAGCGTTCTTGAGGAATGCACTTCGGAGTGACTGACCGTCAAAGGGCGCAACGACAAGTGTGCGTGTAAGGGCGCCGGTCAGATAGGGGAGGGGGGAAGATACTTGGATAGGGTTCATAACTTATATGCCTGCAAGTGGTTGTTTGTAAACTCACTATGGTAGTGGCATTTGATGCGATTTCTAATCAGAACATGATTTGCGATAGAAGAACGAGGTAAAATGATAGTTTATGCCGTAAAACGCCGTGATATTCATAGGATAGCTATTAATTTTTTGGAACGTTTTGATATAAGCTTCTCCACAAGGAGGTCTTACAGTTAGTTCGCATAAACTAACGAACTAAATTGAATCATATGCTGCAGAGTATTCATCCTGGTTTCATCCAGGATGTCCTAGGGTTGTTTCTGAGGGTATAAGTGTATTCTGTGCGTTAGGGGGGGCGTTTATCCGGGAAGATATAAATGAGAAATAATAAATTTCTTCGTATCGAAGAAAGACGACGTTTGTCTTGATTTCGTAGACGTTGAGCGCGAATGTCGTTTTGACTCAGTGTAGTTTTCTTTAAAGTGGAACAGTTGTACAAAACAAACGTATTACACAACTATTTCAATAATGATTTTACATCGCATTGAGCGTATACATTCACAATACATTCTTATTGTCGTTAACTGTTGGCAGTTATTGACTTTTTACTTTGAAAACATTGTATACTTTCAGAGTACAAAGAATACACACGTCTGCACTTCGGTCCTCTTAATTACTTATGAAGCAATTAATTGGCAAATCTTTATTCTCTAAGGGGTATTTTATGAAGCACTTCTTTTAAAAACTTATCTCCTAGAAAGTCATAACAATCTTGTATAAAACAAGAGAGAATGCTATACCCAGCTTGTGTGAACCAGAAATTTCATCATATTCTAGAATATCGGTAAAAACTGCGAAAAATAATACAACAAATTAAAAAAAATTCCAAAAGTGTGGGTGTGACACCTTTGGGCGGTAGAGTGGGCGTGGCAAAAGTTGTTTTTAGTTCTTAGTTCTGAGTTGATTCCATTTGGGGAGGTGATCGCAAGGCCAAATGAGTACCTCTTCGCGGGTGAGAAAAATAATTCTCTAGTTGTTTCTGAGGGTATAATTATTATGAGCGTTGTGGCGGCGTGCAAATTTGAGTCGGGTGTGATTCCGGCTTTTTTGAGGTTTGCATATTGGACAGCCTCCTCTATAGTTTGCTGTGTGGTTTTGTCGTGCAATAAGCAGAGTCATGAATATCTCCATTTTGCAAGAGTACTAAATAATAATAATAATATAGTACAATATAATAATAATAATAATAATAATAAATAATAATAATAATAATAATAATAATAATAATAATAATAATAATAATAATAATAATAATAATAATACTAATAATAATATAATAATAATAATAATAATAATAATAATAAGAATAAGTAATAATAATAATAATATAATAATAATAATAATAATAATAATAATAATAATAATAATAATAATAATAATAATAATAATAATAATAATAATAATAATAATAATAATAATAATAACAATAATAATAATAATAATAATAATAATAATAATAATAATAATAATAATAATAATAATAATAATAATAATAATAATAATAATTATAATTATAATTATAATAATAAATAATAATAATAATAATAATAAATCTTTCAATAATATTTTTGCTATTTTAATTAAGGCTTTTCTCGTTCGAACTTTCACTAGGTGAGTACCGGGTACCTGATAGTCAAAGAACTCGACTAGCGTTCTCTCTTGATTTTCTTTACTCATTATTTGCCAATTTGTATCAATATGCGAAACCTTTGGTCCACATAATCCAAATAAAAAAATGTCTTAGAAAGTAAATATTTATTTCGTCATTCACTACTAAAGGAGTTTTTAATAAATCTGAGAGTCGGGAGCAATAAATGTAATCGACGCTTTGGGAACACAAATTTATTTAGTGCTGACAAGGAAACCCTTCTTCAAACTTCTGCTATTCAATGTTTTGACTTTTGAGCGAAAGTGTCCCAATGAAATGGGGTATTCATAGCTAGGATTTTAATACAATATAATAAAAGTTATACGACATTTATTTCCTAAAACACACTTAATTTAAATGAACTTTTTCTCTTTTTAGACATGATGCCAATCGGCGGTAAAGTTGGTTATGCTGATATGACAGCAATGTCAGAAATTGATGAAATTGGAATTAACCAAAATCTAAACGTTAGATACAACAGTGACATAATATATGTATCCTTTACTAAACACATGTTTGTTTTATATTGGTATATGTCAAAATTTTGTAGGTGTGTAGGTAATAAACTATGTAAGTATTAAATTGTAATAAGCTATTGAAGTTGAACGAATTAAAATTTTTTTTTACCAGCTAAAAAAATCAAGAGAAATATGTTCGATATTCTATAATTTCTGGATTGGATTCTGGATTTCGTTTTATAATCTGCCCTAACTAACTGCGACACAGCCTTTCGGAAGAAAAAGTGCCGATAAAACGTTTGAATAGGTTTCCATTTTCCTTTTTATTACCATTCAATTTGTTCGCCAATCGAGTGAGCGCACGGCTTAATTCATTTCGTTTACTCAAGCTAGTACGGTTTCTTAGCCTGTAACGTACGCGTTTTCTACGTTCTGCTCCCTGAGAGCAATGGGAGAGAGTTGTTTATTCGCCAACAAATGATTTCGTTTCCAGAAACCCCGTTGTCAAATACCCGCACGTCTGTTATGACCGCAGGTCATTGCCGTGTCGCCCCGCACCGGCTCTGTGATCTTGATCCTTGGGTATTTGTTGCACTGCTCACTCAACCGCGGCTATTATCCTTGCAATTTGTTTTCTGATGCGGTCTCACAATTGACTGTCTACTGACTTGTATTGACTTGTACTGTGTGCCCTTACTCGTTTACTCGTTGATTGGCTTGCGTTCTCAATGGCGTGTTTTAACTGGTCCAGAACTGTGCTTGTGCTGTCTCTTTATAGGCCGCGACGATCCAATTATTTCCCTTTTTGCTCACGACCGCTCGGTTCCGATGATCAACAACGTCCCGTTAGTTCACGGTGCGTTTTCTTTGTGCTGGTCCAAGGTCTGTACCATTACAGTTTGATCTCTGTGCTCTGGCCGACTCGAGTCCAAGTCCGTAATTCACGGTCTCTCCATATTGCCGGGATTCGAGGTGTATTATTTACCTTTGGACCTGGCTGCCCACACTTTCCGGTCAAAGATACATGTTTCCGGAAACATATGGGTGAAAATAGTTCATTAGGGACAGTAATCTTAAAAGATGAAAATTTCCTAGCATATAAAAAGTTAAAAAAAAAAAATAGTGTGATCAGCTGTGGAGTCCTGCCCGAGGCTGCGGCGCGTTCCCCTCAGGCAGCCTACCACCAGCTTAAGGCTATTAAACTGCGAGTCTAGCGCAGAATGGAGATCAGCAAATTTCTCTAGCCGCCCTGAAACTGCTGATTAGTCGCTTCAAGCCAACTTTAATTTGACACATATATGCATTATCTCGTCCGCAGCACCGAGGGAAGTATTACAAAATTATTTTAGATTTGGGTTCTTAGCTAGCGCACTTAACGTGCACCATTTTATCACACAGCCAACAATTAATTTTTGGCTGCTCAGGCTTTATTACGTGACGGCATTTGCTTTGGAAGCAGACACCATTTGTTTACTTTGGACCACATTAAAACGAAACAATATCGAAACTTGCAGTTAAATGTACCGCAAGAGCGCAGCCTGCACGCTTAGAACATAGAACTAAACAGCAATACGGACAACGCACGAGAGTAAACAAAAAACAAAATCAAAACAATAGAGTTCCACGACTGTCAGATAACCGTTACCCAGCTAGTGGAAGTGCGAACGAGAAATTTTTACATTTTCTGATATATCTGAAATGGGGGAAAAAAAAGTAAAAAAAAATTTACAAGTTTTCAAAAGTTTGAGCGTGGCAGTTTTGAGCGGAAGTCGATACAAAATTTACAAAAATAAAAAAAAAATTAAAAAATATCAAAACATTCTAGTTTTTATAGTTCCTGAGGTCGAGACTTCCATACGGACAGATGGACGTATAGACGGGCATGACCAGTTCGACTCGGCTATTGTTCTTGATCAAGAATCCTTCAAGATCCTTCCTTCTACATTTTAGATACTTGTCAACGAATCAAGTATACCCTTTTACTCCACGAGTAACGGATAAAAAAGACCAAGGCGCACTAAAAGTTTAATAAATGTTTAAAATTGTGCACTAATCAGAAAAGATTCAATCGCAAATCGAATGCAGTTTTATTTATTATGTATACAAAGGATTAAATTAAACGAATTCATTGAAGCGATGGCTGGTTTTGGCCAAATCAAAACCGTTGACAAACGATTATATATATATTCTGAAATAATTCGAATTAATTTGAATATAAGCACCAAAATATTGCGGGACTACACGAACGGACTCATTCACTTAAATATTTTCGACTGTGTGTTTTATTGCAGACAAATGCAACCATTTTTTGACGAGTAGTATAAATACGGCAGTAACATTACATAAATATTTGCAAAAGGTATTGGCAAAAAGTTATTAATATTCCAAAGTGTTTAGTTCCTTTTCTTATACTAATCATGCAATATTCCAGGTTCTCCTATATAGAAAATCAATAGACTTATACAGGATCAATACTACTGGCTGTAAATCCTTATAAAACAATTAATATATACAATAAGGTAAGCTAAGCACAAAAACATTGTAAATGATTTTGTTTTATATTATTTTACAGAAAGCGTCGTGTGGTCATGTGCAATTTATGTTGTAAAATAATATATTACATAATTGAACTTGAGATAATAATATGTTGGCGACTGCTGTCTCATGTTCCCTTAACATGTTCAAGTACTTATTTGAAACAATATGATAATCAACTCAATTTCGATGGAAACAAATTTATGTTAAATACATCAAAAATATATCAAACTGTAGCCAGTAACTGCTTTTTAGGAAATTCTTTAATGGACGACCGATTCAACTTTTCCTTAAGCAGTTCGCTGAATTGTATATATTTGTAATACTTATTTACTCACCCAGTGACAAAGCGAACTCCATTATCTCAGGCAACACCATAAGGTAAAGTTTCTTTGGTCGCAGATTATTATTACAGGATACAGGTTAAGATAATTAATGGGTAAACTTAAGTCGGTATAAGTCTTGGGTGATTATTGGATCACCCTAGTATCCTTATATGCAGATTCAGCATAAATGCTTTTAGAAGTCGTGCCTGGTTCGCATTGATTCCCGGTATCAGCACTTTGCTGGACGAGCGGTCGGCTTGCCGGCCGTGATTAGCTCGAGTACAGTTTGATAAGTTTCAGTTTAGTTTTGATCACCTTAATAAACAAGAGCACTAGCTGATGTAAAACAACTCCGGGAACAGCCGTTAAAAATCTTTTATCATATTGAAAACTGATTGTGTATCTAGGCCAGCAGTTAAGAAGGGTAGTTCCCCTTCCAACATAATCTTCCTATTCCAACATAGGAACTAAAGACAGCTCCAACCAAACCAAACCGAATCCAGGACACAAAAACATGTAAGTGGGCTGATCAAGTCTGATACAACTTTTAATTACACAGGGAGAAAACAAACAAGTTATGTTTTTATGTCTTAACATATAAAATTTTCAATAAATTGTGACTCTCATTGTTTTTTTTTTTTTTGGTACAGGAATTACTTTTATTTAAAATCTGTCCTAGGTGGACAATAATTAAATGTTATGTGGGGACGTTAACTTAAAGGATACATTATTTTAACAGTATTTTTGGGGGAAGGTGGGCATTCAGTTAAGGGAGAGTTGTGTGTCTTTTTTAACCAGAGTGGGTGTCTTCTTTGTACTGCCAGTGGTGAGATAGAATTTAGCTGCTGGTGAAGTCGAGTGGCTGTTTTCTTCTCAGACGTCTGACGGTTCGACTGTTGTCCAGTAGGTTGATTGCCAGGTGGTTTGGGTGGTTTTCCAGCCTGCTTGCGTATCTTGCGCTGAGCCTTTTGATCTCACCTTTTACTGTTGGGATGCCTAGTTCTATGTGGATAGTGACATTCTCGTGGTAAGGGTGTACGTCAGTGACAATTCTCAGGCATTTGTTCTGGAACTGCTGTATGTTTAGGTGGTTTGAAACATTTGCCGTACCCCACAGCTGTATCCCGTAGGTCCAGATCCTTGTATACCAGGATTTTTGTGCTTAAGCTTTGACTTTCTTCCGATGAGCCGACGTAGTTGTCTCAGACGCAAGTCAGCCTGGTTACGCTTAGCAGTGAGGTGGGGACGCCAAGTGAGCCTTAGATCCATGGGTAAGCCCTAAGTACTTGGGTGTGGGTACATTCTCCTCTGCGCAGAGAGAAAGTAGTTCGTGAGTAAATTTCATTACGATGTTACAGCGTTGCAACCAAGGGCCTATTGCATCCAGTTGACTTTGGATGAAGGCTGTGGCTTGTTCGGGGTCAGAGGCGGTGGCAAGGAAGGCGGTGTGTGTATGTGGCAATGGTTAGGTTCCTGGAGGGAATGGTGGAGAGGTCTGAGGTATAGAGGGTATTGAGATGGGTCCAAGGACGCTGCCTTGTGGTACTCCGGCTCTAATGAGCCTAATCGAGCTCATTGAGCTTTCGCATCTTACTGGAATACTCTATCCTCCGTGTAAGATGTGAGGGTCCAGGGTGCCACAACTTGTCAAACGCCTGTATTACGTCCAGCATGACAGCACAGCAATATTTCTTTTTCTCGAATGCTTCCAGTATTCGCTGAACTAGTCAGTTCCTTTAGGAACGTATGGAAAGAGTACAGCCGTAGAATGCACAGCCTGTCGTTGAGCTCTTTGGTGGCACGATTAAGGGCTGTTTTGTCCCTGGGGTATTTTTTTCAGCCACGAGGGCCACAACTTCTGGAGACCAGATATGGAGGTCTGTTTCAGGAGTTCTCGGGGTTGATGAGGGTGGCGGATTCGCAAACTTCGCAGCGTTGTGCATCCAGTCACAGTGACAGTGACAGTCCAGTCCATTGCGCTGCAGGAATCCATGGAGAGCACTTCCTTCCTCCTGGAACGCTGGTAGCACCGTGTATTGAATTCCACTTCTGATGAGGAAGGCTGCTCCTCCCCTTGCTTTTCCGGATGGGTGGTTGGATTGTCCGGATGGCTGGTTGGCTTGGATGAGGTTGTATCCGCTGATGTTTAATTGGGATTTGTGGCAAAATTGGGCCTGGCTTTGGGAGCAGCTTAAGCCTTGGCCTTTTTATAGACTGGACATCCTCTGTAAGACGCAGGGTGATCAGCTTGGCAGTGAATGCAGTGCGCTTTCTCATCATCCTTCTTTGCGCACTCCTTACAGTCATGAAGGCCTCCACATTTCACGCAGCGAAACTCCCGGAAGCAGTATCGCTGGGTATGTCCAAATCCTTGGCATCTGTAGCATTGTGGCACGTCGTAGAAATTCAGAGGAGGTTCAACCGACCTGCAAATTCTATTAACTTTGAAAACCCCCATATTGTTGCTGGCTGGTTCAAGGTCGGCAAAGAAGATTTCCACGGGTTGCTTGGTTCTTCTGCTTATGGGGTTATGCAGGTCTCTCACGTTATGACCCTGAGTACGAAGCTCTTCTACGAATGCACTTCGGTCTGCTGTGTAATGGAGTCCCTTGATGACTATTCTGTAAGGTCTCTCGTCCTCGGGTTGAAAAGTGCGGTGCCTTTTGTTCTGGGCCACTAGCTGATCACGTAGTGCTGAGTAAGACTCCTTATCTGGCATCATGACTCGAAAGTTGTTGTTCGTTTCCGTCTTATATGTGAATTCATTTCCGGGACCCACTAAGGAAGTGATCATTTTGATCAGCGCGGAAATGATTGTCCCGTTTGGGATAAAAATCGGTGGTGGTGGTCTTCTGCGTTGGCTTGGGCTTAACTCGCATTTTGGAGGCAGATTCCTCTGCCGCTGGTCCGTGTTCGTCATCAGTTTGGTCGTCATTATCCTCTTCGTCGTTCGAGAGGATGGCGAAGGAGTTGTTGGCTAGCTTTTTGCGCAGGGAGGCGCTATTGCTGACTTTTGCTTTGCGGGCGACTTTACGCCTCAGCTCGTCTGGTTCAGAACCGGGATCGGAACTGCTGCTGTCGCTTCCACCTTGAGGGCCTTCCTTCTTGGTGGTCTGGCCAGCTTGGTGACCCGCGGGATGGTTGCCAATCCATATTTTTTTGGGTGGGGTGTGGTAAGCGGGGACTCGACACTGTTGCACGGTATGCCAGCCGCACCAAGCAATGCTTCTGCAAGAGCACTGTGCAGATTAAACTGATAACATGCACTTAAGTGTGCACTGGTGTGGGTGTACAACCGTTAGGCTTCTAGGCTGGGTCAAAGAAAAAGCACGCGACACGTTTAACTGCGTACGAATAGCGAAGTTAGAAAGCATGAAAATAACTTGCTGTCGATCCGTATGCACGTCTGCACTCGCTGAGTGTTCGATCGCTACAAAAATAACAAAATTACATGCTGTCGCATTTAAATATTCGGCCTCCTTGTGCTTAGCGTTAATCAATTAATGGCCTTATGATTTTTTTAGGGCCATATAGGGAAACCAAATTGGAAAGTGATAGTGAAGAAGACATCAACTAGCTCCCAAATTGAATTGCTAATTCATGCCGCATTGGCTAATCAAGAACCGCCAGAGGTAGAAACTTACCAGAGGGTAGCCGTAAAGCCGGGAGCAACACCGTCCGATACACCTTTATACATAGTTAAGTTAATTCCAGATTTTACTGGCATTCAGAATGAATACGTGGCATGGACGCAATCGGCCACCTATGCTTTTAAATTGTTCAAATTTACAATTATTAGAAATAAAATTAAAGGACCAACATAGGGCTTAATTTTAAACCAATTTTGGCTACATTAGACTGATCCTATGCAGATAAAACATCCTTGCACCTATTACGAAAGGGACTTAAGTCGGTCCGTCAAGGCGAACAAAACCGTAACGCACTACTACGATAAGGCCGAACGAAAATTAACACTCGTTGCAAACAATATTGCCATGGCATATGATGATGAAAGAGCTACATTGCATAATACATTGCTGATGCCCTACACGTATTTATTTCCGGTCTAAAAAAAATCCCTAAGGGCTGTTGTTTTTTCAGCACATCCCAAAGACCTGCCATGAGCACTGGCATTAGCAAGAGAGGCCGAGGCCAGTATCGAATGAAGTTCCACTGGCGGGACGAGTTTTAAAAATTTTCATAGATACTGGAGCGGCAAAAAATTATGTAAAGCCCCTAAAGGAGCTAAAAAACATAACTCTTGTCGAATCCCCATTCACTGTTAGTTCCATTCACGGCTCCAGTAAAGTAGAAGAAATGTGCTTAATTGCACATTTGCCCTAACGTCCCCCTTCTTTTTACTTGATACCATTTACTTGATACAGTGGAAACGTATCGAAAAATTGAAAATACCATGAATGCGGTGCTGTGAACTTCACATATCGATGACGTAGAAGTCCCAAGTTCGGTGAAAACTTTTTTTTTTTTTTTTTTTGTATAAAGCGTACCGTAAAGTACCATAACATTGCAATTAAACATATAAATAATATAACCAAACTTCTCACTTATCGCGAGAGGACTAACAACAAAATCTCAAACATCGATCTGTCCAATTGTTTTGGCAAAGCACTTTTTTTTAAGCCTTCTTAGAGGCCTGA